TTGTCATTCAAAACTTTTCACAGTTTTGGCCTGTACGTGCCGAAAGTGTTTGGGGGCTTTTGGTTAACACTGCAATGCCCCAAGTTTTTTGTAGACTATTTTTTAGCTGCGATGTGTTGCTTGCTGGTCAAGAAATGCCAGATTGGGCTCAATACTGGCATTTACTTTTGATGCGTTTAAGCATGCCACTTCCTGTGTTTTACTCTTATAGTAGGAAAAGGTGATAAGTAGTTAAGATGTGATGATTGTATTGTGCTAGTTAATCTAAACCTCTAACCAAAGTCAGTGTGCTCCAAATGGGGAATCTGGCTTGAATAGGTTCTTTTTTTATGCCTCAATTAAGAGGTTTTCAATATTTCACTTGCAATGGAATAAAACTAGGAAGAAATAATAACTTTAAACTAGCATCGAACAGAAAGTAAAATATAAGTTCAAAGACAAAGGTATCCGATGGATATAGTATCATTACAAGTAAGCAAATACAAGCATGTATGGACTTAAATACACTTAATGAAAATGATAGAAAGCCTAGCAAGGCCCATGAGGACTTTATCAGACATAAACAACCTTCTTTGGACACCACTGTAATCTACTTGAGGCAGTACAATGAGTCCAATGAAGGATGTCAACAATATCTGCAACGCATAGATAGGCTTGCAGACACGAATTTAATTTTAGATAATTTAGAAAAAGTGACCAACTTATAAAATCATACTAAGCATTGATGTTGGTAGAGCATTAAGATTACAAACAATAGCAAGGTAATTCCAATCAAGAGTTGTTAACTGGTAATTAGACAGAGTATGTGTTTGGGAAAAGAATAGAATTCCAATTAGAAGTATTCAACTGGGAACTCAAAGAGTAAGAGAGGATTTGATTCAAGTCTTGACTTTGGTATGCTATGAGATGCTTTGACAAGGTGTTTGATTCTAGAGTATTTGAAGGTTGTTCAAATAAGTTGTTTTTTTTAGAGAGATTTGTTGTTCCTTGAATCAAACCTTTTGGCTCCGTTGCTTTGCACGCTTGGCAAGAGAATTCTCCAATTATGTACCAGTTTCTTCCCCGCAGGTGAGATTGGCTGACCTATAATTTCCATCAGTTGTCAAGATCAATCTTGAGTTTAAATCTAGATGTTCACGCTTTTAATCAGATAAAAGCAACGGTCTTTTGGGAACAACCTAAGCTTTTCAAATAAACAAGCTTTTTGGGCTTTGTTTATTTTAATCCGAACATCTCTCTTTGGCACCAATCATGAAGTGCCACATGTTGGCGAACATCTTGATTTTTCATTCAAGAAACATATTTCATAAATTAACACTAGTTGTTTAATTTATGAGATTAGAATAAGAATAAACTGGGCATTTTTGGGAGATTCAATCATTTATCTATTTTTAACAACCATCTAATTTGGTTATAAACATGAATTAATTTCTATAGTCTGCATCGAATATACTTTGTCCGATGAATCCTTGTCTTTTCTAGTTGACCATTCCTTGGTCAATATTTCTTTAAAATCTGGCACTGCCCGATGGGCTTTTGGGCCTTGAACATACAATTGTTTTGGGTTTGGCCATTTTATGTTGGTTTTGACAGCTGGGCAATTGACCATAAAATGGCCCATTGACTATTGAAATTGGGTTACGCAATCAATATGGACAGTCATTGACCTATCTGTAAATTCTTACTTACAGTTTTGGCCTAGTTAATACCTCCTTTAGGTATCACTTAAACTTTTGATCATAACGACATCAATGATGGTTCTTATTATTGCAACTATAGCAACATCAATGATGCTGCATAGAACATAAGGTGCAAAATATACAGTAGGAGATGACTCTGGTTGGACCATTCCTCCAGATGGCGCTTCCACTTACGAGAAGGCTATAATGAGGAGTTTAAAGTGAGGAGGTTATTTGAGGAGGTCAATCTCACCATCAACAAATATAAAGAAATCATGAGACTTAAACGTTTTAAATATTTTGATGGTGGGATTGCATCCTCAAATAGCCTCCTCACTTTAAACTCCTCATTATATCCTCTCCCCCTTCCACTAATGCCACATGGGCTGCCAAGCATAGCTTTGTTGTCAATGATACTCTAGGTGAGCTAATAATTCTCTAGTTTTTCAACAATATTCTCGCTCTATAATGTTCTTTTGTCAGATTCAAGATGTGGAAAATAATTATTTATGTTAGTTGTTTGATTATCAATCTAAATTACGTATTTTAGGTAACATTTGGGCAATGGTCAAACCTGATTAATAGTCCAAATTCAAAGTGTGACATATTAGCATTTATCAACATCACGTTTTTTGAGATATAGCTACATAGATCGAAGATGATGTTGTTTCTGCAGACTTTTAACTTTGCTGCAGGAGAAAATGACCTAGGTTGGGTACACAAAAAAGATTTTGACACGTGTAATGTCACGCAGCCCATGTATGAGTTCAAAGAATTAATTAAATAGTAAATTTGACTTACACCCTTCAAATTCAATTTGCCGTACTTACAACCCTTCACTTTTTGTTCCTATAAATAATACCCAATTTGTATAAGTAAAAACCCATGACTAGGATTCAACTCAGCAAGTTATTTAATTAAGCATAAAATCTGATTTATTGTACTTTTCATATTCCAAAAATACCCCCAACTAAGCCATTATTGCATTTTGTATATTAATGTAGGAATCAATATGGAAACAGTTTTTAATTGGATTGTATATAATGACAGATGTTGAATTTGGAAAGATCTCCAAATGGTTGTAATGGATGTAGGAATTAATTTTGAAACATTTTTTAAAAAAATTTAACAATAAATTCATATTTAGGTAATCAGTTTGTTTAATAAAATGTTTATGTTATTTTCTTTTTATGAATTATACATGACTAATAATCCACTTTATAATTGTTTATGAATAAAATTGTACATACTAATTATGTTGAAAAAATAATGTACCTATTACTTGTTTGTTTTATGAAAAATATAATTTATCTAGTATGAAAAGTGTACATAATTATCTATTCCAATATACCTACATTATATGACATCCAATATACCTACCTTAATTTTAATGTACTTACAATTAGGATTTAGGTATTATATGTCATCCAATATACCAACCATTTGAATAATATACCTACTACGAATAAAGTACCTATTATTTATCTAAATAATGTACCTATTTTTTTCTATAAATAATATAGCCTTTTTTCTCTGAATAAAGTACCTATTATTTGTTTTATTAAAAGTAATTTTTTTAAATGAACCAATTTTCTCTCTCCAAATAACTTACCTATTTTTTTCCTCTAATAATGTACCTATTTTTCCTCTCCAAATAATGTACCTATACACATTTATAGGTAGTTTGTAAAATAATTTACCTATGGGTAAATAATGTACCAATATTTTATATAAATTATTGTGTACCTATTTTTAATTATGAAAAATATACGCAATTACAAAGTAACTGACTTTGTTTGTTTTTTTTTGGGGTAAATAATATACCTATATTTTATATGTATATATATATTATATTTTTCATAGGTACATTATTGGATATGTAATTTACAGATTTTTTTTTGTTTGCAATTTTAGGGGGCGAGATGTGAGAGGGAATGACAACTAAAAGAAATGGGGTGATTGATATGATATTAATAGGGAGTATATTAATTACAATTATGGCACTTAATGAAATGCTTGAAATAAATTATAAATAAAATATGAAGTTTAGTGGCAACGATGTAAAAACATAAAAATACTACGACCTCTTATATCCTACCGGTTATTTAAATTTGAAATTGGGTTTTACACATAGATTTATAGAGTGATGGTATATGTCTAGGAAATAGAAAATATAGGGATCTATATTGGACAAGCTCTTAATTAAACTTAGATTTCTATCAGTATTAATCTTTATCATAACATTTTTAGTAGTTAAAATGGATAAAAAGTCTTAGATTATTATTATTTAATCTCAAATTTCTTGGACGAAATTTTTGAATGCATGCAATGTCAGTACAGTTATTTGGTCATGCATGAGGTCATCTCGATGACCTAATGAGATTGCCTCATGACCTTCTAAGTCCAAACCGTGTGCCTTAAGGTCATCTTGGGCAATTATTAACTCGATGCATGTGGGGTTAGGTTACAATATGCTACTTCAATAATTCACACTAATAAGTCATAGTGAAGAAAGATCGCAGAAATGAGTCATAAGCAAAGCATTCTGATTGCCACTTGTAGCTAGTGTGAAACGCGGTATGTATACTTTGAACCCAGAAAAAGTGGATCGCCACAGAACAAAATCACATGAGGTTACTTGCGATGTTAGAATTTGAAATCATTTGACCCAAAAAAAAAGAAGGGGAAACGAATAAAATCAATAAATATTTATACTTCCTTCATCTTCTTCTCTATAGGATTGCCACAGAACAAAATCATTTATACTCAGAGCCACTTGTTGTGCAGGGCGCAATATGATGGTAAGTATAATCAGTCCAAACAAAATTATAAGGACGGTAGGCCATGAGTACGTATGATTCTCAACTGTTGATATATATGACTTTTATTACGTGTCTTGCATACATTAATGATTGTCAACTTTTTAATTTCTGTACTTCTCCTTTCTTTTGTACGTAGATATGATATGTTAAAAAGTTAGTTGATGATTTTCCATATGAAAAGAGAAATTATCTGTTTTTCCAAAGCTATATTTATATTTATAATCTTTTAAACTCGAAAAAGTTCTCGAATGTGTCTTTTGGTTTTCTCCATATAAAAGATTGATTATTTTGATTTTACACATGAATCGAAAGACTTGTATGTACCTTTCGATATCAAATTTGGATATGTGAACGCTAATTTAGTTTTCAAGAAAAGGGTACAAGAAAACAAGTTCTATTGTACGAGGAGAAAGTACTGCCGCAAAGCCAAATAAATATGTTATATGTGACATGCTTTTTTGAATTAATTGCACAGCAAAAAATTGTCATTGAGGTGCAGATGAGAAGCAGAAAACATCGTGCCAAGGCCATGAAGATAGCCGCTGTAGCTGATGGCGTTAATTCAGTGGCTTTCAACGAGGAAAAGAAAGATCAGATGGTGATCATTGGAGATCGAGTTGATGCAGCTAGCTTAGCTCTGTGTTTGAGGAAGAAGGTTGGCCATGCCAACTTAGTGAAGGTGGAAGAAGTAGTGGAAGATACATGATATAATGATAGTTGAGAAAGTGAGAAGGAGAAACCATGCCAATCGGATCTGCATGGATACAAACTTACCATCGATTCATCGTGTTCATGTATCATCCTGGTAGTGGTGATCATAATAAGTTTATGCATGATGCATGCAAAACGGTTTCTGGTTAATCTGGCGTTGACTTTGTGTAGATCTTCAATTGTTGCCCGTTCTCATATACTTACTGATTCTTTTTTTCAGTGATTGTATGATATAGCACATAAATGTATGAAATATGACGTCAAAGGCGTCCCATCAATTAGGCGGATGATGTGTCACGATTTTTTTCTTTCCAATTACTGAGTACCGACTGGTTCTATACAATTCACATGTTTATATCTCTGGTAATGTGTTAGAAATTACATGTTTAGAAAAGATCCCCCAAATTTCAAAAATTGTTTTTCAACAAATAACACATGTGCATTATGTAACTTGACTTAACGGAAACTTTAACGGAGTTAAGCGTATGTGATAAATTGCAACATTTTACATAGTTCAGGTGGTTAATAGTAAAAATTAAAAGTATAGGTAGTAATTATGCACATACCTAAAAGTTCAGGTGTGTTTATGCAAATTTTCCAAAATCGTAATGTAGTATATAGAAAATGTAATAACACATACTATTTACCTAATACAACATATAATCATACAATCACACTAAAATACTAAACTACGGATACAATTGTGAGTTAACTTGTACACATATACATAATTTATATTTATTTTGGTATACATGGTTGGGGTGGAATGGGGATGGAGTAGGGAGTGCCATCCTCATCTAGCCCCGGGGCTCACAGAGATAGCAGGGCAATAAAATTTAGCATCATGATGAAACATCATCTTTGAGGCAATGTTTATTTATAGGCTAAATTGTAGCAATGGTCCTTCAAATAAGACCGAACTTTACTTTTCGCCCTTCATGTCCCAAAATTGTTGTGGTCATCCTTCAATTCCACCTCGTGTTGCGTTAGTGGTCTTTTCGTCAACGAAGTTAAATTTTATGTTATTATTAAGGGCAAATTGGGAAATCCCATATAAAATATTTATTAGATAAATAAACTCATTAAAAAATCAACCCAGTCTCTCCATTTGAGCATGTGGGGAAGCAGGGTTTGATGATTGGGAAAGTTGATTTTAGCAGCAAGTTGATTTTTGGAGAGGATAAAGAGCTCTTCAGCCACTCAAAGTTGAGCTACACCTCATTGGTTGGATGCAATGAAAACTATGATGATGCATTTTACTATGTCCAGATAAAATCCATCATGGTTTTGGAGGGGAAGTGGTTGACATACTAGAGGAGACTTGGAATTGGAATTTATCACCAGAAGGTGCTGGAGGCTTTGAGCCATCTGGGATGGTTTGGGTTGCTGGGTTGGTGAGGTAGATGGATGGGCAAATTTGGGGGGGGAAGAAAATGGCATGCAGTTGGGTTTAGGTAGAAGGAGGTGGTGGCTAGGTAAAAGTCTTATCTACCCTTAAAATATCTATCATGTGACTGACATGTGATCAATTTTGACAGAAAAACAAACAGAATTGACAAAAAGGACTAATGGTGCAACGCGAGATCTTTTTGGAGGACGATCATAGCTACAATTTAGCCTTATTTCTAATTTAGTCATAGAGAAAGGCATGAAAAAAACTTTAATTTATTTTCTACAAGAGTTGTTCTCGTATGATAAGAATTCTATACCATAAGACTTTCTATATAAATATAGAGTAGCGTTACCGTCATCCCCATTTTCTATTTCCCACGTTCCCTACACTAATTTTTGTATATAAAACAAAAGTTGGGTTGATTTTGGTTATGGGTAATTATAGGAATTGAAGATAGTTCAGCTCAATTGTCTTAATCTTGGCGGATCTTCAAAATTTTCTATGTTTTCACCTCTAAGAATTCAAATCCATGATTAATTATAGTGTAGTATGATCATACAGTCACGTGATATAACTTCACGTGTTATAAGTAGATATTTATTGATACTATTCTTTAAAGGGGGAAATATCAACCCTACCATCTACTATATTATAGACCGTGTATACAACGTAACCGTACTCCAACACCATTCTACAATTTCTCCAAACCCACACTGCTCAAGATTCACAGAGATGAGCTTCCTTAACACTTTTTTTAAAAGTTAGAATTCTAGGCGTGCACTGGTTTAAAAAATAAAAAATAAATTGTGGAGGAGTGCATGAACAGCTTCCAAATTAAATGAGTCAATTTTTATATGGTAACTAGTCACGATAGATCTTTAATTTAGATTTCCTTTTTCTTAAATGCTATCTCCTAATGACTAATTAATGAAACCTGAACAATATGAATGAGCCTGGCTCGAACAAACTTTCTTTCTTAATTTGGTTGAATCGTACACCATTGATAATAAAGTCATCGTACTATAACATGTGATGCTTCACAATATTCTAATAACACTATTATTGCTTACACACTAGCGATGCTGACTTCCATTACAATACTTCTTATATTGACTTGAAACTACAAGAATTGACTTGTAAATCCAGTCTTAAATCAAATTAACAAAGATTAATTAGCTAATTTTTTTGGCTTAATCTGATTGGACAGCAACAAAACGTGGATCGATCCCCAAATTTGTTCCTTAAAAACTCAATTAGTGAAGATAATCAGGTGTAGGCTTAGCTGCCACTGCCGTTTTAGAAGGGTTGACGTTAGAAAAACGACACTCAGCTCGGTCTTCAACTTCATCACATTCTCACAGAATTAGAACATCCATACGTTCTTCTTGGAAACCCCAAAGTTTAAGTTTGTTCAGTGTACTAGCGGACAATATGAAGGTAAACCACTTCTCCCAGAAGCATACAATTCATGTTCTTCTCTTACTTTCTGAAAAGATTTTCTCGGGAAAAAGAAAGAAACGCTAGTTTAATTTTTCTTTTCAAAGGTTTTATTTTCTAATAACACATAGAAATAAAATGTGTGTATTTAGTCCATGGTTTGATTCTGACATATTTGTTTGGTTGGATGCATGACCTGCAGCAAAAGATAACCATTGAAGCGCAGATTCGATGCGATAAATGTCGGTCTCAGGCCATGAAGATAGCTGTTGCGGAAGATGGTGCCTTTCATACTTTGAAACTACATATATGTTCTTTCATATTAATGGGAGATTTGTTTAATTAGTTTGATAATTTTGTTTTTGAATTTTGATGTTGCAGGTGTAACATCAGTGGCTTTCCAGGGACCCAACAGAGACAAAATGGTGATAACTGGAGAGGGAGTTGATGCCGCGGACATGGCCAAGTCGTTGAGGAAGAAGCTTGGCTATGCAGACTTGGTAAGTGTGGAAGAAATTACTGAAAAGAAAGATGTGAAGAAAGTTGAACCTAAACAGTAAAAGAAAGCCGAAAATGCACGTGCAAAACCACAACCTCGTTCTCACCATCCTCAGTTGGAATTCTACATCCACGACCCATAGCACATGTTTAGTATTTAATAGAAGTTATTATTTTCAGATAATTGTCGAATTAGCTTGTAATATTTCAAATTCCAAATTGATGCTTTGGGGAGATCTCGAATACTTAAGAAAGACTTGGGAAGGAATTTCTTTGCTGAAGTTGACTTCTGGATTCTCAAATTGCTAGACGTTACTACACAAGATCTACGTAACACATCACTAATGTGAAATACGGAATATTATGTAGATATCCTTCTAGGCTATAGTATTTACTTTATGTTAGTATGAAAATTGTATTGTCATTTCCTAGACTCTAGTATAGGTTGAAAAATTAGTGTGTGAAGAATTGTTACTCGATGTTTTGGCACAACTCATTCAACCTCATACATCCGAGGCATGACTTGACCTATATGAGAAACGCGACTTTAGGTAAATCATGACATAATCATGCATTCATGATAGGATTCTTAGTTTGAGTTATTTTCAATCAAGTATTTTTATGTTAATCCTATTTTTAATAGGATTAGATTTTATCTCTTAAGATTACTTTTCTAGTTGAACTCTATTTTGATTTAAGTTAAAATTATATTTTCCTATTATGACTTGCGCGTTGAAATCATCTCCTACTTTTTTTGTGTATGTGTTTGTGTGGTGGAAAATCATCTCCTACTTGATTGGTCTAATTCTTTTGTTTTAATAGATATTGTTTTTTTTAATTAAAAAGTGGATGGTTGGCGTTTTTCACTAAGAATCCAAATTGAACTAATATTCATGTTTGAATACTATTTGTGGTCTCTTGATTGGGGTCTTAACAAGGAGAAATTTTTATATGTTCCAGGTACACCACATGGCTGGTGTACCATCCAATAAACATAAGACATGTGGAATTATTGTCTAACTTACTGCATTTCTTTTTATAACATGTGGCGGGCTGAATTGCAAATATTCCATATGTTTTTCATCTATTGGATGGTACACCAACCACGTGGTGTATCCGGAACTCCCAAAAATTACTCCTTCACAAGAGTCCAGATTGAGTTAAAAGTTGATAGTAATAATTGAAGTGGGTTTGGTACTCGTGGGTTGCGATCTGACTAGGCATAGGAAGTTTTGAATAAAAAAAGCATGCTTCTCCTTGGTTTTGATACAGCTTTTGACATATTTGTGTGGGGCATATAGAAGTCTTAGGAAAAAGTTGATGTGCATTTATTTGAGATAAATCATCAAGTGTTCCATGTTTACTTGGTGATTTATCAAACACTTTAATCATTCATATTGCATTCATATGCATGTCTGTGACTCATACGGTTGAGGGCACCAAGATCGTTGTGGTGGTTTTTTTTCGGTGAGCTTGAATTGATCGTGACCAGTATCAGATTCAACATAAGGAGAGTTGGAAGAACTTCAGTGAGCTTGAAGCAATCGTGACCAGTATTGTGTTCAACATAAGGAGTGTTGAAGATCATCCCGTGACAGAAGTTGAGTTACGAAGAAGTCGGTAAACATTATCTAGAATGTGTCTAGGATAAGTGTGTGAGTACTTCTTGTAATTATCGTTCTATAGTGAATGTGTGTTGGACTGAGGAGTCCCATGAATTTTTCCTAGAGGTGTGTAACACCCCGACTCCAAATTTATCCCCTGTTTTAATTAATTTGAGCGAAATTAAGAATTTACCCGTGGGATAGGGGTATTTTAGTCATTTTCTTACCCGGAAGGAATTTGGGAATTCCGGAGGTACCGTTGCGTAGAGCACGGCGAGATGAGTTCGTAGACACGTAGTGGGCTCGAATCGGAGTTGTAACGAGAGAGATACGATCTAAATACCTTCAGTGGCAAAACCGTAAATATTTTGAAATGGATTTTTGGTTAAAAAGACGGAATTGCCCCGTCTCACTCACTCTCTCTCTCTCTCCCGCCCGTCCCTCTCTCTCTCCTCTGGTTCGCTACGGCCGAAACAGCCGGCCACGTTTTGGCCGGCCGTGCTCTCGTCCGGCCACCAAAGTCGACGGGGCCGGTACCAAAATGACCGGGCCGCCGTCCTCTTCCTACCCCGGCCAGGTCCCGCCGCCAGCCGCCGTGATTTCGCCGGAAAACGAGGAGAAAAGCTCCGGTTTTGACAGAAACTTCGCCGGCTTCGTTCTCCGTCGTCCGGCCATCGATTCCGGCAAGTGAGGTATGATTTCTCACCTATTTTCCGAGCTCTAGCTGCCTGTTGGGTAGGAATTGATCGATTTGTAGCGTAGCCAACTCGATTTACGAATTGGGTTTCGGCCGAATTTCGGGATGAGATTCCGGCCACTTCCGGTCAGTTTTTGGGGTACGTCCAAGAACAAAAGTGACTCCAAATTAGGTATTTTACATAGGGTAGGAGTGTTGAGCCGTGATTTGTGGTTTTTCCGGCGATGCGATATCGCTTTGGACACCCACGCGCTGCCGGCGCGTGGGCACTGTAGCTGAGGGGCATTTTTGTCCCAATGTGATCCTCAGGTTGTCATGAGCGCGTAGGTGTGCTCGGATCTCATTTTGGATACCGTTAGAGTCCCGAACGGATATCGCATATCGCGTATTTTCCGGGTTCGCTAGGTTTGGACCGTTGGATGGTCCTGAAGTTATAATATGTTGATCTAAGTATTACCAGGATCGTGTAGGATTCGACGGATCGTAAAACGGAGTCCCGGATACTCCGGAAATGCCAACCCTGGGGTTAGGGTTTTAGTAACCGTCCGATTGTGTGATCGTGAGCGATCCGACCGTCCGATCTGGACCAAACTTGCAGGACATGTGTCCTAGAGCCTATAGAACCTATAGGAACTTTCGGATCGGAATTTGGAGGTTGTGGGCCCCGCAGGCCCGTTTGACCCTAGGTTGACCGTGAGACTCCCGAGATAGTCTTACCTTTCCTTGAGGGTTAGGATGACCTTAGTGACAGGTCTTGAGCGTTGTTGAGTTAAATGGATATTGTGGGTGTAGGATATAAATTGGTGAATTTAAATGTGGGAGTTTATGGAATGTTTTTTTTGGTTGATGTTATTGTATGATTAGAAATTATATGATATATTTAATTAATTGTGTTGATGTATAATGATATATAAGGAGATTGAATATTAGTTTACAGTGCTATACGCACTACCCCACGTACCCCTCATATTGTGATTATGCTCAGGCCCAAGTGATAATATGATGGCTGGTGAGAATGTAGCCAGGCCCAAGTGACAGTATGATGGCTGGTGAGAATGTAGCCAGGCCCAAGTGACAGTAAGATGGCTGGTGAGAATGTAGCCAGGCCCAAGTGACAGTAAGATGGCTGGTGAGAATGTAGCCAGGCCCAAGTGACAGTATGATGGCTGGTGAGAATGTAGCCAGGCCCAAGTGACAGTAAGATGGCTGGTGAGAATGTAGCTAGGCCCAAGTGACAGTATGATGGCTGGTGAGAATGTAGCCAGGCCCAAGTGACAGTAAGATGGCTGGTGAGAATGTAGCCAGGCCCAGTGTGAGGTCGCACGCGTCTTTGGATTAGCCGGCGTGTTGACAGACCCCATACGTGGCCGGGTGCGTCCCGACGTATGAGGGGAGATATGATTGTGTGAGGGCTGGTGAGAATGTAGCCAGGCCCAGTGTGAGGTCGCACGCGTCTTTGGATTAGCCGGCGTGTTGACAGACCTCATACGTGGCCGGGTGCGTCCTGATGTATGAGGGGAGATATGATTGTGTGAGGGCTGGTGAGAATGTAGCCAGGCCCAGTGTGAGGTCGCACGCGTCTTTGGATTAGCCGGCGTGTTGACAAACCCCATACGTGGCCGGGTGCGTCCCGACGTATGAGGGGAGATATGATTGTGTGAGGGCTGGTGAGAATGTAGCCAGGCCCAGTGTGAGGTCGCACGCGTCTTTGGATTAGCCGGCGTGTTGACAAACCCCATACGTGGCCGGGTGCGTCCCGACGTATGAGGGGAGATATGATTGTGTGAGGGCTGGTGAGAATGTAACCAGGCCCAGTGTGAGGTCGCACGCGTCTTTGGATTAGCCGGCGTGTTGACAGACCCCATACGTGGCCGGGTGCGTCCCGACGTATGAGGGGAGCTATGTGATTGTGTTTGGTGTGTTGTGATGGATAAACCCGAGAATGTATGAATTTATATGGATGTAATGGTTTAATTGATATCAGGAGCCAGGATTGATAGGAAAGAGCTACGTGTGGCTTGATCCCTTAGTAGGGTACGTAGGCAGCCTGGGATAGCGCCTAGGTGCAGCCACGGCCTAGACACCACTTAGGTGGTTTTATCGAGTATGATGCGGACCTCGTGGTTGGTTCCGAAACTTGGTTGAATTGAGGCTGGTCCGGTGGACTGAGTGAGCGAAGGTGTGCATAGATAGATTTTGAATTGGATATGAGCATGTTTGATGCATGGAGTTATTTTAAAAGCAGTGTGAGTAGTTCTGCTAGAATCATTTGAAGGCTGGAGGCCATTTATGTAAATTGCATGAGATTATATTGTGCGTGCTGCTGGTTGGGTTATAAAATGTGTTTTATGCAGGTGGAAATTTTGGGGAATGTTCAATTTACAGGGGAGACTCTGCCGAAAATTTGGCAGAAAGTCTAGTGCCCTAAATCCTCTCTGGTAAAAGAGGACATAGTTTTAAGGAGTGAACTCGGCGTGGGTGTGATGCCGGGGTCTCCGCAGGGTTCGTCTCGGGTTCCGGGAAATTCGGGGCGGGTCCTGTCAAGGTGGGGTTTTACCACGTAAAATAATTCTCTGTGTGTTTCTTTATTTTATGTTCAGCACGTTTCAAGATTAATAAACCATATCAATCCTGCTACCAAGTCTAATTTTGTTTATTGATTATAATCTTAAATTGGCCTAATCACCCATCTCTAGGCATTTTTAGTCATCCTTTAGGTATTTTCACTTATTTCCTATTTTCCTTCATGCATATGGTGTTAGATATTTTATGTCATAAATCACTTTAACGTGGTCTTCTAATCATCATAGGAGATCTAGGTATATTGATTAAAAACTTCATTAGAATTGGTGTTTTTTTGGTTCAAAGGGAAGTTGTGTTTTACAAAAATCCTTGTTCCAACAAATTCCTTATATTTAATCGATTAGAACACCTCATACCAGTGCAATTAGAATAGGTCTTGTATTCCTTGATGGGCAAAGAGCCTTATACCAGAGAATTGGTTGGTCTTTCCTTTATTTGACGTGTATGACATGAAATGGAAACTTTTGAAGCAAACTCTTGGTGAAGCTGTACGATTTGTTCCTTGAACGACATGTGCGTTGAAGCTAGTTTCTTTCGTGTAAACGACTCGTGTTGATGAAACAACTTGTGTGTTTTCCCAAGGCCACGATGGGCCTGCAGCTTCTACAAAGCGTTACCATTTATTCAGTTTGAGCAATTGCTACTTGGTACTTAAAACTGGTTAAAGCCCAGCAGACCAGTGGGCCGCATGGTTTAAAAAAATCAAGACTTGATAACTGCTTCAAGCATCACTTCAATATTGCTCGGCTCACAGTGACTAAGCAAACTGTGGCCCTTAACACCTCTTTCAAGTAATGCTAAATTAGGGGTGGGCCAAAGGCCAGCACGCACCAATCCAATTAAAGCACTTGGTTTTAATAGTAAAAAAAAAGAAAAGGGGTTAATCGTTTTATTAGTCTTTGAACTTAGACCTGATTTGCATTTGAGTCTCTCAATTTCCAAAATTGTTCCCGTGGTCCTTTAACTTTACTTTCGTTAGGACAAATGGTCATGCCATAAATTTTTGTTAACTTTTTTTGTTAAATGCAGGGTCAAAATGGTATTTTTATATTAGAAAAATGGATAAAAAATCATATCTTTAAAATAACAATAAGAGAAAATCAAATAAAAAAACCGAAAAAAAAATCAAGTTTGTGGGGAGTAGAAATCGGGATAGGAGGGGGGGGAGGGGGGGAGAGTTTATTTTTAATTATTTTTAATTTTTTAATCAATTTAATACAAAAATATCATTTTGCCCCTACATTTAACAGAAAAGTTAGGGTAAATTACTCAAATGATCCTCAAACTTATTCCTGATTTACATTTTGGTCTCTCAACTAAATTATTCGTTCAAATGGTCCATCAACTCTATATTATTCGCTCCAATGGTCCTACTGTCTAATTTTTTTGTTAGATTTAACCTAATTTTAGGGTAAATAATGACCAATTTACCCTCATATTTAATGGAAATATTGACAGAATGTAATGGTAGGACTAATGGAGTGAATAATATAGAGTTGATGGATCATTGGAATGAATAATTTAATTGAGGGACCAACATGTAAATCGAGTATAAGTTTGAGGACTATTTGAGTAATTTACCCCAAAAGTTGATAAAATTGAAGGCAAGACCATTTGTCTTAACGAAACTGAAGTTGAAAGACCACGGAACGATTTTGGAAATTGAGAGACTCAAATATAAATCGGGTCTAAATTCAGGAACTAATAAAATGATTAACCCAAAAAAATATTGATCAAAGTTATATACTTACATTTTCAAATCATAATTCCCCTATAAAAGCACTAGGAGATGCACCGTGGGCATATATGATAAGATATATGCTTCCATCTTCTTACTTGTGTCACGTTATGAATCGGACTTTGGACTAAATGTTTGAACCTCCAATTGTCCTTTTCATATAGAAATCTTGCGATCGATGAATGTGTCTCTAAGTCCAATAATTGACAAGCTTTGCTCCTTTCATGCAACCCAAATTGTCACATTAATTTATAATTAACCAAAAGTTTAACATTACATCGACAAAATAAACTCATTCAAAAGCATGCTTAGCAACTTTTTAATGCATTGTGCTTCACAAAATTTTGGGATAATGCGTTGGAGAGGAATGTTTTTCTGTTTGGCAACCTTGAGATTGTGCCCTACAGAGATAATGTTCTTTTACCAAAATACTACACAAAAGCTGCCATAACATTATTTTATTTATGAGTAGCCAATCAACCCCTAAATTTTCTAAACCGCAACATTATTTTATTTATTTATACCTATATAGCCATAGGCACGCTCCACTTGTATTATATTGGCTCTTTGTTATTTGATTTGTTTTTCCCTTTTGACGGCTAACAAAAGGGGCTCCTGGCGTTAATTAGAACCATCAAACAGGAACAGCCACATGCATTTTCATCCAACAACTTGAAAACAAAACAGAAAGTTAGAAAGAGAGAGAGAGAGAGGGGGGGGGGGGGGGGGGGGGGGGGGGGGGGGGGGGGGGGGGGGGGAGGATAGGGTCTCTTGTACAGATTAATTGTGCCCTTTGGTAGGTTCTCTTTCTCTCCTTTCTAGAAAAAAAGGTACAAAACAATCAAATTCAAATCAGCCACCCCAATATTAATTTTCTTCTATCAACTCCCTTCCCCACGTCCTCACCCTCTACTTCATTGTCTGTACTCTACAAAGATGAAAAGAGAATGTGCAAAAAAATATCGGAAAAAAATCTTGTATGATCATAGCTAAGTATGAATTGAATACGCCATCTTAAGTTTGAATGGAAAGTGTCACATTTGAAAATCAAAACTAAACTTTATTATGACCGTCCCTCGTTGATTGTCTGCGGCGGATTCCATCATCGAGAAGTGCGTGTCCACAAGTTATTGTACCAATTTCTCCCTTGGTATCCAACCTCAGTACTTCGTACTAATATTTACTCATCCCAGCAAAAATTAGTCTTTTCGATATTTTATAACCCACATTTTTGTACTCAAGTTCTCAACCCAAAATACACGTGTTATGGTATGATTAAGGAGAAAATGACTCTAAGATGAAGTCAAATATTTTTCATAAAGAATAACAAAATCCCACCAAAGCCTCACCAAAAGACGCAACATCTTCTCCAAAGCCGCATCAACAACTCTTGGAGACAAGCCGACAAAGCATCGCCCATCCATATATTCCTCCAAAAAAGATATCCAAAAGCTACCTTACATGACCATTTGGACTCTCTTTCCCAACACCTTCTCCCTATCGAGCCTTTCTGCTGCCTTTCCTCACATTCACCAACCCCAACTTATGAGAATATTTAGTCACCAGGCTTTGCCTTCTTGGATTTTGCATCAGAGCTGCTGATACTTCTTTCTTTGTTTACATCATTAGAATCTGTTAGATAGCAGCCTCATTTGAATATAAAATACACATTTACAAAATTGCCCATGTCCTATATATATATATAGCAATGCAACCCCATTGCCACCTCAAAAGGCAGTCTGAACAGTCTCTTTGAAAGTTAATTATACATCCCTCTCTCTCTATGGCTAGGCAAGGACTTGATGGCACTGTTGCTCATTCTTCCATTGTCCTATTGCAAGAGAGGTTTAGGCAATTGCAGAAAGCAAAGGAGATGAGGGAGGAGAGAGAGCTCTTGAGGCAGATGTTATCTGGATCGGAGAGAATTAACGTTCCAGCCACACATTATGAGCCAACTGGGTTGTTCTTCCAATCTGGTGGCTCTGGTGGCTTGACAGATCCTCATTATAAGCCACCTCCCCAAGGCTCAATGTACCACAAACCTAACTTGCAGAGCAAGGATGCTAATTTTCTGCAGGTCTCTGATGATGAGAGTCAAGTCTTGGGAAACATATGTTCAAGTTCAGTATCGGTCATGAACAGAACAAACAACTTCGATGATTCAGATGTTGACACCTCACTTCACCTTTGAAAAACTTCTAGGGTTTATGGGAGAAGCATATATGTTAATCGCTTGTTCTGTTCTTGTTTTTTTGTTTTTTGTTTTGGCAGCTAGATCTATTACTTATATGGGAGAAGCATTAGCAATGTAATTAATCAGTATGTACGAGGAGGATCATGATCAGTATCTTATGTTCCTTTTAGAGTCCAGTCTGATCTGGTCTCTTTGCGAATGGATCCCAGTCATATTCTGTAAGGTTTAATCACTCTTTCCTCTGCATGATTTCTGGAAAAAAAGAAAGAAAAAAAAAGCAATTACCTAGCTCCATGCTGACCAACATTGTGTCCTCATTGATCAAGTTGACAAACAATGGACTAACTAGCTATTTGTCTAACTTCTCTCCGATTATAAGTTGGAATCACACAAGACTACCAGACAGATTGTAAAAAATTATGTACAAAAGAATATGAAAATATCCCCTAATGTCAAGGGAATTTGCACGTATAGAGATTGCATTAAAAATGGATAAATAGATAGATGATAGATGACGAGTGAGCTTTAGAGGGCTAGTTAGGTAGGAGGGAAAAAAGGAAGTATCGTAGAAGAAAAAGGGGGAAATATCTACAACATGGACAACATATTAGAAATAGTCCCGCTCACCTAAGGACCTAAAAATGAGGCCTTGTGAGGTCCCTTAGATTAAAATTATGAGATCATCCCATAAAAAAAATTCTTAACTAGCCCTTAGATTAAAATTATGGCTGCCTGAAAAAGAAAGAAAAAAGGTCCTGCAAACCCTGCCTTAGAAGATAATTGAATGATTTCAGAACATATTATTATACAGACAACCTCTGCCTTTTCAAAGAGCACTCCCTAGTCATATCGACAAGTTACATCCACATCTAGGTTTAGAACTTTTGACAGTAGAGGGAGCTCAAGGCTAATAACAAAATTGGAAGCTCCATGCGGTGAGGGTATAAATGAGCTACTCCACCTAGGCCATCTCCCTTAAAGCTGGCTCTACCTACCACATATTGATCTCAAGATCATAAGAATCCAGTTGGCAAACTTATAGTCCTCAAATACCAGACATGTATCAGGATAGGCAAAACTGAAAATTTCAGCACTCAAATGATTTTTTATTTTTTTTTACAATATTCTTTCCTCATTTTCGTTGTTACTCAATCTTTACCTCTTCTATGATTCCGTGAAAAAGGGAATCGCGGGCAATGCAACTAATGTATACTGAGATTATCAACATTGTCTTCATGTTCATCAGATATTGTATTCTGTGGTTTCTTTTGAAATGAATCCTCGTCATACTCTGTACCATCTGAGTCGTGATCAGTACTCCACTTCCTTTTCATGATTTTGGGAACCAAGCGGGTCACCTCTTTGGGCTCCACTGTCGCAGCATCATTCTCTATCCTTTCAAATCGAACAGAACCAACCTTTCTGGCATTTCCTGCTAGTATCTGCCCCAAAAGAACAATAGCAACACTGATATTACTCTTGTATGAGTTAAGGATTGTTTTTTGTTTTTTGTTTTTTTTTCTAATGCTAAATAATCCAAGGCATACCAAATCTCCCCCAGCCCACCACCAAATACATGATTGACCAACTCAAGATCATCTAGAATTTAACACATGCAAAGAACTAAATGGAGCAAAATATTCATCATACCTCAATTTTAAAAATTTGGTGCTTTTCTTTTTTATCTTTTTTATCTTTTTTATCCTGGTTGTCAGACTTGGACTCATCAATCTCCTCTTCAATTTCCTTTTCAAGGACCACTTTGATGCTCTCCCCCGTCCTTGGGATATATCCAAATGCCTCACATATAAACCCTGATACTGTTTCATATTGATGACCCTGTAATCAAGAAGTGAAAGGTGAGAGATAATGTACATGCCAAAATTGATGGACAATGCTAAATACAATTCAATGCATAATACCGATACGTTTTAAAATGTCTACATTGAAAACGAAAACAGATCACAATTGGGAAAAGAAATCTTCTGTATTACTTTATGCTTTGATTATCAATAATGAGCAGAAATTAATGAGCTCTTGCAAAGTATTACAATTCAGCTCTCAAGTCATAATCATAATTATTAGGTAAGGATAATAATGGTTGGGGGATTCTTTTTTCTAATGTTCTCCGAAGAATGGCTGAGGGTTTGATGCCTGTGTTTTTTTATACAAGTCATATTGGGGGATGGGAGATTCAAACATAGGACATCTAATACAGGGGTAAACGCTCTTAGCTCTTAACCACTTGAGCTACAAGGCCCTCAAAACATGCATGTATTTAAATGGAGGAAATATACGATACCCATAAACCTGTACTCCAAACAAGAAAATCAGCTCTGTAATATTAACTGTGGATAAGAAATGCTACTTCAAATATGGACAGCTCTTCATCAGAAACACAGCCAATTTCTTGTTAATAGTTGTTTCTCATGCAAGAGTTCTATTGAATCTGTTGATCATTTGATATTCACAGCACAGTGGCTTTGGAGAAGTGGTTTTCTGTTTTTTCTTTGTTTAGAGTTTCTTGAGTTTTGCCAATTCTTTTGCGAATGTGCTGTCACAGTGCTGCAAATTTTGTTTCCCAAGAGACATAAGGTGTGCAAGGCTGAACATTTATTGGGTACTAGGGTTGTGCCCCAACAGGGCCTAGGTGCTTTCTAGATTTCTAATATTTTTCTATTTATTAAAATAAATAAATAACAGCTACATGGTATGGTCTAGTTGTATCCCATTGCAATAAATGAGACTGCTCTACTGCTCAAAGTCAACGGATAGAACCATTATAGCAAACTAATTAATTAATCAAATGGAAGATATTGAGTAGGATAGATTTCCCTTGGCTGGTCATAATAAAAGGTGCGGAGAGAATAGGTATGGTGTGATCACGTATAGATAAATTTCAAAACCAATATTCAGGATTTTACACTTGCAAGGATAAATACCTCAGGCATCTTCACATTTAGATCTTCAGAGAGCTGGTCAATAGATGTGTTTGCATCCACATCAAATATACCCTCTGCACGCATTACAATGTAGCCAGTTTTTTTCTGAATCTCCTCCTGGTCCAGCATCAATAATTTCAGTAAGAAATGTAAAAATATGATGATATCAACCAGCCATCACAATGGATTTTTCTTTTTCCAAAATATTAGCATTACCAATTATATTGAGAACAATAGTTTTGTGTGTTTATGGTTCTAAAAGAGTTGCACTCATTTAAGGGGTTAGAAGATCTCCCAGTAAGTGAGGGCTCATTTCTTAAGCATTATATTCGCCGGGACAAAGAAAATCGTTTTTCACTTGTCTGACCAAAAAAACCTTCTTTGATTTTGTAGCTTTCTAATGCACTAATTTTTTGTTATGCATACCAGCATATGGGTTGTGCCCCCTTAGTGCTTTAATTATTGAATTACTCATAAAAAAAAGGTAGATGAACGAGTATAAACACTAGTAGTGAGAATTACTTTTGAATCATTTTCGTCAAATATTTCACCAACAATTTCCTCAACGACATCTTCCAGGGTTACTATCTGTTTCATCACAAACAAGTTAGAGACATGCTGTGCAACATGGTGAATTTTTAACAAAAACATCAGAAGTTCAATTCAACGACGAATGAAGAACATACCCCTACAGTTCCACCATATTCATTAAGAACCACGGCCATGTGAACCTTTCGGATGCGAAACTCCCTAAGAAGATTCCAGACAGACATTGAATCTGCAAAATGGATTATACTTCTTTATGCATTGGAAAATTAAGGACCATAATCAGTCCAAAACAAAATTAAGAACCGGATGGTGTACACTGTTGTTCCAAATGAAGACAGACAAATGCCTGCTGCAGTCAAGGCACACCTAGATTCAATGATACGAATCCTAAGATATTCAGCTCTATGCAAACATCAACTGATGACCAAACTGCTAAATCTGTCAACAAGAACATGAGGCCACACTCATGTAGCATGAACAAATGCTAGAACTGTAAGTGAGCATGAGGCCAAACTCATTAACATGGAATCATGTTGATTAAAAAATGATTTCATATGTACAGGGGAAAGAAAATATAAGTAGTGTAACCACTACTTATCAGAACAGTAGCTTCAAACGACCAACCAAGAACCAGAAACTTCAAAAAGTACAGACAACTTCAACCATGAACAGCCTATAACTGCTTAACGGGCTGTCCAGCGCCAACTTGATACCATGTTAAATAACACAATCAGAAGTGTAAAGTAACGGTGGCAAAACTTTACAAATCACTTAGCCTAGTATCATGCAGCAACATCAGCTCCAGTGTCCTGAACTCATACATTTCATTCAAGGACTCCTACTGATTATGAGCATGACCTAAATAAAATTTGTTACAGCTTATAGAGCACTTGGAACTCAATGTACCAGACAACAGATTAGACAGTTGGGTGGAACCCAAAGGATTTAAACCTTAACGGATCCCCAAGGCTTTGCTGGAATGGGGCCAATACCAAAACCCAGCAAAGGTTATAGACAATGCCAAATCAGTTAAGCAACCGCCACCCAGGCACATCAGTTCCATTGAACCATTTTATTTCCAGAAATGGTTTTGTTTATAAAGTATACAAGTCAGAATTATAACTGCAATAAATGCACAAGAAAATTAAGAGAGAGCAATATACAATGAATATCCAATCTAGAATACATGTGTTTATCAGAACTTAGCATAATACAAAGAATTACCAGGCACAAAGTAAGCAGGTTTCTGAGCCATATCCCCGACAGTAGTACTTTCTAGTAGCTCACCCTTCAAAATCAAACAAATTCACAGTTCTGTGCACTATGAGATTTTTTTATTGAATTAATAAACAAAGAATATGCATCTCATAGAGAGATAAATAGGAGTACAAACTGTCTGACCTTCTGAACATAATCCAATAGATCCATTGCATATGCAATTCCTACTATATTGTCAACACGCTGCTCAAAAACAGGCACCCTATAAGAAGAATGTTCAAAATATTATCAGCTGAAGGCACTAAAGAACTATTCACCATACCACTAAAATTTTGGATTACCTTGAATATTGATGAGTTACCCACAAGTCGTGAAAATCAACTAGTGTTGCACTGGCATCGATGGCAACTACATCTACAAGAGGAGTCATCACCTCTCTAACATGCGTATCTTTTATCTCCAGCACATTTTCAATCATATCCTGCAAAAGGATTTATTTTTCCAATAAAAAGTGTATCTTAAATAAGGAACTTCGAGCACAAAACTTTACAATTAATAAACTTAAAAGGGGGGATGGGGGTAGTAGTGGGATGATGAAAGGAGCACAAGTGTTATTATAGAGAACAAAGATGTTGGAATTTCATATTCATGAAAAGCATCATATTCTACAAAACAGGAGAAATAAAATGGCTATGGACTGGCTAGTAGATGATGCACATACACACATAAACATATATAAATGGGAATGTCTTCTTTGGTCAGATATCTGGAATGTTTTTTTTGCTATGCTGTAAATCAGTTCCACCCCTTCAGGCATAACAAGACCTAATAATTTGTTCATATTAACAGTCTGGCAACACAAGAAGGAGGCAATGTCTTTTTGCTAAATACTGTCAAGTTATGTTGTCATACAGTCATATAGGAACAGACATTAAAGCATGATTCCACCTGATCAATGGTTCAGATTAATAGCTTAGTACCATAACATGCCAGAGTTTGGCATCCGCACCGTTGCCCAGGTATATTCTTGTTTAACAGTATGATCCAGATTGATAATTTAACGTTAGATATGGCAAAAGAGCATTACCGTATATACACATATATAAACAGAGATATTTTGAAACTGAAGTTCATGGAGAAATTCCAAGTGGAAGTTAATCCAGAAACAATCATTTTTCTCTTCATGCACACAAATTTCTCTAGGATAGATTGTAGTGTTACTAAAAATTCCTCACGTCCCAAACAAAGCTGTGGGTGTCAATAACAGCCCAGCTACTCTTTCAAGTGCCTTGATAAATCCAATAGTTTGAAATTATTACTTTTACATCCCCACCCCACTGTCTCTCCTCTCCATATACAACAGGACCTTGACTAGTCAAACAGTATCTCGCAAAATGTATTTCTTAGGAAGATTTTCACTCATCAAAGACGGGATAACAGCAAAATGCCTGCCATATTAAATCTTCACATATAACAGAAAGATTTGGTGGAAACATATTGAAAAAACAATAGAATACTTGATGGCAGAAGCATTGAATTGAGAGCTGATAACATGGATTTTCTTCATTATACTCAGAAAATGAATATTTCTTTTGTAACTTGGAAGTAATGCAGCAGAATAAAATGTTAATGGGAAACCAAAAACTATTCAAGTACCTGTTCTTCCTCCTCTATTGCCCCACTTAACTCTGCCCCCCGCAGCATCAGTTTTAACTCCTCCTCAGTAACATATGGTTCACTGATCATAGAAAAGGTGTAAAACAAAGGCATAATTTTCAAGAAGAACATTTTCATAGTAACCAAAAAACATCCGTAAACAATATTAACAGGTACAAGTTCAATATTCCATATATCTAATTCTCTCTTATCCATAAAATGAAAGCAACACCTTTATGTATTTATCAGGTTAAAAGAAAGATAGCCTTCACAATACTCTAGCATGGTAGATGTTCCACTTACTATCAAGAAACACATGAGATAACAGTCGAAAGATTATGTTAAACTTAATGAATCTAACCCACAACCAATTGGCTAGGTGAAGAGACCCAAGACCATACATATTATTATGCATGGCTTAGAATTTCTGATATGGGATTCTATATTCTCAACACGCCCCTCACGTGTGGCAAGACTGATCCAAACACGTGGATCAATTATATTGAAGATATGGAGTGTGTGTGGTTGTTGGAACAGACACGTGGAGTGTTGGCTTTGACACCATGTTAAATTTAGAGCATCCCACCTAGAACCATTTTGGTAATGATAGAGAAGCCCAAGATATTATACACTGGGATGAAGGAATTAGACCTAGTCGGTGAGAAGCCCAGTTGGTTTGGTTTCAGTTTGGAATTTGGGCAAACCAACTAGCCCGGTTTGATGCATGTTTTGGGCCCCAGCCCTAGCCCATAGTCTATCTCTATCATCCTTCTTAACCCTTTGACGCACAATATTATTTAAATTATAATGCGAACTATTAAGTCCATAAGCACAAAGAGCTAATAACCATAATTGTCAATCAGCACCAGCCAAGCACCAACTGGATTATTGACAAGCAGCAAAAGAAATAAATATGACATAAATTAGAAGTTAGGGAGAATTCAAATTTGGGTTATCAAAAGAGCAAACCTTCTTCCTTTCAACCCGAGTATTTTAGCATCCCCATTGATAGATATGTAACAACTCTTCCCACAGGATATAATACCAATGAGAGCCACGCCACTGGCCTGACCTAGAGGCATCACACCCAACATTGACCAAATTAATCAAGACAAGCAGGAATAATATCAGTTAAGAAAAAATGAGTTAACACAACTAAAAGTCTAAAGAAAAAGTCAAAGATGTCTAATTAGTGGTCATGTGGGTTTTAGTAGAAGTTAGAGAAACTCTACAGTTTCTAACTTACCACAAACCTAGCAACCTCTGTGGGATTGTGAACAGCGACACTTTTGGGAGTTATTTCAGTGAGGAGCAAAATAGCAACCTTGCATCACCAAGATAAATAAACAGTATTAAATATTAGTCCCACTAGTACATTATTTTCTTATCTATGTATATGCAGCCTCTGGCCTTTGATAAGAAATGAGGAGAGGAAAGACAGAACACTGATTTTGCTCTTACATCTAAAATAACAACTTTTCAACAAAAGCCAGACTCAACACAGTAGAAATAGCATTCTCTTCTTTAATTTCACTTAATAAAACAAATTAGACTCTTTCAGAACTATGAGTTTAGTGAATCAATCTTTCTCTATCTAGACACAGAGATATAGAAAGAGAGAGAGTGCAGGTACACACTAAAAAAGAAACAAAAACTGTACTTTATACAAAACTAAAAGACATCCATTTTTTTTAATAAAGGAGTTTCTTAAGCCCCTGCCCCCTCTGTTTCCAACAGACAAAAGGGCAATCGTAGAAATATTTTTTTCTGAGATTACTGAGTGAAGACTACATAATACTAGTTATTAGAAGTTTGCTGATACAAAAAGGGTACGGTGAAAAGAACAAAAACAGACATAAATTAAGCACTAAACAACATGTTTTAAAGTTTGAATGTCCAAAATACTTATCCCTATATCAAACTCTGTACCTCCATATGTATGCTTATTAATTGATCAAGCAAGGAAAATGAAACATACAGTCATTACTCCAGTTGCTGCGCTAACACCAGCTTCACCAAATATTGCTGTTGCAGCATCTGTAACTAAAGCAGTTGCTCCAATATTGACAACACTGAGTACACAAGGAAATTCTACAATAAGAAAGAAATGTTCAACTTCACGATGGAAGAGTAGAAAAATTAATAGCAACAAAAATGAGAAGGAAAGTACGTTGTTCCAATAAGTATGGTTGTTAAGAACCGAGTAACATCATTGCGAAGCAATTTGAAGACACCATCTTCAGACTCTTTCTCAGCCAACTCACGCACCTGACACAGATTAATATCAATTAACTGATGTTATTTCAAAATCCTAATGGGTCAGATCATTCATTTTCTTTCAGTAAGCTAATAGGTTGATCATTTACTGAAAATTGGATATGCACATTTCAAAGTTACAATTTTATGTACACATAAGCACTGAAAAAGAAGAAAGCCATAATATATTAAGGTCCTTAATTCCATATTATTTGGAGGTCATTTAAAAAGCTAACCACAAATACTTTTAACCCTCGTGTATGAAATCAAGTCTGTTAAATTAGCAAGTTTAAGAAAGGATGCTTTGCAGTCCAAGGTCAAAACTGTAATTTCCACTACAATCTATAGAGAACAAGAGTCTAACTCTACTTCAGGGTACAAGGATATAAAACCAGACATGGAAACCAGCCCACAAATGTTAATGAATGATAAAAAGTTGGCATTGGCGAATATACAGTGTTCCTCCGTTGTTAAGTCAAATTACCCATAACTTAAAAGGATAAGTAACATAAAACTTACACTTACAGTTATCATTTCGAACATCATCAGAAATGGCTTAGTTGTAAGTTACTTCATTAAAAAAGAGTCATAAAGAGTGCAATGTCCAGAGGTGGACAAGAAATTCGTCATACAAACAAATCAAAAGCAATCTTTCACAATGCCTATGATATAAGCATTCACAGAACATAACAAATTCATACCTTCCAGGGCCACAGTGTGGTAATTGAAGTCTCCGCCATTGAGAAAAACGCCGAGAGTCCCAAAAGCAAAGCCAAAATCAAACCCTGCTCTTTGAAGAGCTGAAGAACCTGCAACGTCTTCGGCCAGGCATTCCTGAGCAACAATATGCTCTGCCCAATAACCCCATAGCCTGCATTCACCACACCCTCCACCGCAAAAGCTCTTCTGCACCCATAAATTAAAACCCCACAAACCATGGCTGCCAAAACAATTCCGCACTTTACCAATTCCTTAACAAAATCAAACTTTGAACCCGAAACAGCATCTGCACTGCCCGAACTCTCATTATCATCAGCTAGAGCTTGCAAACGAGCTCTATTAACCAACAAGTCAACTCCTTCACATCTTGGACCTAAGAAGCTCCTAAAACCACTATTACCAATGCAGTTCGACTCCAATTGAAATGGGTATCGATTATTTTGCAGCGAAACCTTCATGGGAAATTTTGTTTGCTTATTGCAACACATGAAACTCCATGATTTCGAGCAAGAATTGTACCTAGGCAGAGTCAGAATGGAAGACTCAAGCGCCATTTCGATAAATTACAAGCAAATAACAGAATGTGAACAAGACCCAGAACGAAAATTTCAACACCAAAGAACTAAATGGGAATCTCAGCGCAAAGAATCGAACGAAATTATTATTAAAGCTTTGAAATTGGGGATATTTTTTGGCTAATATGTATGTGGAAAAGCAAAAGGGCGCTCATACAAGGGGGGATGTACAATGGTTTTTTATTTTCTTTTATAAATTTGGGATTTGAAATATTGGGTTGGGCAAAATGGGAAGTTGAAGCGGGGATAAGGAAGGGGGGAGGCTAGGGTTTTAGCAGGATTTAAAGACGGCAGAGAGAATGGGAAACAAGAGGGTCATGGTTGAAGGAAAAGCGAGGGGAGATAGAGAACTGGGTGTGGGATATTATTTGGATTGTTCATTAACATGTTTGGTTGTTGGAGAAGGCGAACTGGACAACTGAACAAATTGAAATTGAGCTTGGTTTGGTTTGGCAGCGGCAAGTTGGATTGACATTACAAGGACAGGCATTGTCCCTTTGCATCTTATTTAATTTGGGAGAAAAGGGCTAAGCAATTTGGATTAAGGCTGGCATTTTAGACCGAAAAACCGCAAATGTCAACCGAGGTCTTATTGCATCTAAATCGATTTATCACAAAAATTGATTGAAACATGCGGTTTATAGAATTGACCACAATATGCGATTGCGGTTGTAATTCCGCATATTCAAATAATGCAGTAGAACACAAACAGCAATATAATTTGATTAATTATTAAAATAAATACTTTTAATTGTTTTATATTAATTAACAGAGGTTAGGACTTCATCCTTTAGATGAATCTTTCTCTTTTCTCTCCTTTTTTCTTCTTCTTTTTCTTTTTATTCTTCCTCTCTCTGAGACTCACCTAGGCTTTGAATGTATTACTAATGATGTGTATTCTTCGTCAATCTCTTGAAGTTCCTTCTATTGTTTTTTTATTTTAAATCTCAGTCTTGAAGAAATATTATTTGAATATTTAATGAATTAATATAACTTAATTAGTAAATAATTGAACTTTTATCTAGTAGGAACCGGGGTTTCAATTAGTATTGCAAACTCATATGTTGTGTTGGTAATTTTGTTAGGTTGTTATTAGTGGGTTAGCCGGGATAATCTCTAACTTGCAATCAACTATTTAGTTGATTAATTGTGCATTAGCACGATTGTGGATTGTATTGGTTTATTTTTAATAATAAAGTTCATTCTCTCTGTATACGAGTTAAAGAATCATTGCCAATGATAGAAAGTTTTGCTTATTTCAGTAGTATTTTTAAGCATGAGCAGACTCTCTTTTTGTTGATACCAAGTTTTGTAATATTATATTGTTCCCTATACCGACAATTGCGGTATAACGACTGCAATATACCGATAATTGCAGTATAATGACCGCAATATACCGAAAATTGTGGTATAACAATCGCAATATATCGACAATTGCTGTATACAACAATATGTCGGTCGATCACTGATTCGTATTTTTACCATACCACAATATGTCGGTCGGTTCACGATATCATTGAAAAGTTGTGGTAACCGAACTGGAACCATCCCTAATTTGGATATTGCATTTGAGAAATCCATTCGTTAGATTGTTTGATATTGAGTATTGCTAAACAAACCCTAAAATTAACTGAGTACAAAACTATCACCTACTCAAATGGTGGAATTGACCAAAATCTCCTACTGAATTAATTTCAATTCCCCAAAAAAATAGAAAATCTTGGGATGATTTATACAAAAATTGCATATAGAATCTTTGCATGGACATTGAAACCTTTTCTTTGTTTTTATTTTCCCCCCTACTACTATGAGATTGCCCTATTAAATCTACTCCCACAAGAGCTTAAGAAATTAAAGATTTTGATGCAAACTCAAAATTTGAAAAGAATGTACAAATTCATGTAAAAATAGAAATTTGGTATAGGATTGGTATGAGGGGGTTGTGTGATAGAGTGTACTAGGATGTACCAGGGGTATTTTTGGTAGTTAAATAGGGTGCACTTAGTTAATTTTACATTTTGATTAAAATATTATAGTGCACTTAGATCATAGGGTGTACTCAATTAATTTTAGTGTTCGTTTAACAACACTCTTGATATTTTGAAGGGATTTTGATCGAAATGGTCCATGAACTTATGTCTAGTTTTATTTTTATTTTTCAACTAAATTATTACAAATCTATCAGTATGTCAAATTTTGTCAATAGTCGTTAATTTTAGGGCTAAAACCATCAATTTGAACTAAAATATGAATAACGTAATTAAAAGTTACCCTCCGTTTGGATGAGAGAAAACAACTCAGAATTTAGATAAAAGTTGGGAATTTAATAGGAGAAATTGACAATTCCCTTATTTGGCAAGTTAAGCGTAGAATTTATTAAATGACACGCGGAAAAAATCATGGAAATTAGAGCATCAAATTCCCGAGTTTAATTTCCATCAAAATAGGAGTCATTTCACAATTTCCATGATGGCATTTACAAAATTCGACGTACATAAATCCAAAAACTGAAATCTTCAATTGCCAAAAATTGAAATGATGGAAATCAAAATTCCGTCACTTTAGAATTCTATGCAATTTTCAATTTCTTCATCCAAATCAAAATTCCGTCATTTTGACCAAAATGGTCGTCCAACTAATTTTTTTCATCCCAATAATCCTTTAACTCTTTCTTTCGTGTCAAATAAGTCCCATCGTCAAATTCTATTAGTGCAAGGGTGCATATAGGGAGGAGTGGTCAGCGGAGCATGCGTGGTGGAAAATGTTACATTATGACCAACTTGAAATGAAAGAGAGAGTTACTATTGGGGTGAAAAGATTAGTTGGGGAATCAAAATGGAACTTGGGCATAAATTCAAGGAAAAAATATATTATAAAATAACAATTAACTTCTTTTTAAATTATTTAAGAAATTTAATACTATTATACTATTATGGGGTCTTTCTTTCTTGCATATGGCATTCATTTCAATTCCATGTGTATCTCTCAGTTTTCTAAAGTAAAAAGTACAAGTTTACAAGTTGTAAATCTTTAATAACATAGTGTTGATCAACCAATTTCTTTTTAATTAGGCTACATTTTATTGCATAGATGCATGTTTGTAATTTAGTGTTGTATATATGAATTGGTTGTTCTACAAATAAATAGGGGATTCGGGATGGGATGGGGATTCCCCGAAAAGTTTTATTGGGAATTGGGGCAGCGATGGAGAGCAGGGACGAGAATGGTATTGTCAAACCCGGCCTCGAACTGGCCGATTGCCATCCTTAACTCTTAGAAGTGGCAAACCTTCATTAGTCAATTGGACAGTCTATAACGTAGTTGAAATTTTTTCTTTGACTCAATTTTATTATGTAATTGTGTGGGTTAGGCCTGTAACAGTTTGGTCTATTCTACCAACGAGCCCAATAAGAGCTCACTCATGTCAAAACCATGCACCGATATTGTCCTCACTTTAACCACCTAGCTCCAATCCTTGGGTTGGGTTAGTTCCTAAAGACCTTTAGTTGTGGAGTTTTAACTTAAAAGACCTCAGTACAATTAGAAGTGGACCACCTATATTTGAACTATATATTATTGTTGTATTCTCCAATGTGAGACTTACCCATCATGACTTGTATCAAGCTACCTACACCAACAATCTCCATCTTGGCAAGATCCAAGCCAAGGTAAGCTGCACATTACAACACTCGTAGTTTTCAAGAATGACATGGTCCTCGTAACTCCACCTCTTCCCACATAGATTTCTTGAGCCTCGTTAGGAGCACTTGCTCCACTTGACCCTAAGATTTTCTCGAGCCTTGCTAGGAGCCCTTGCTCCACCTAGTTAGTCAACACTAGGATTTCCTTGAGCCTTTTAACTTTGTTATGCATAGCCCTTGCTCTATTAGTCCTCTCCACCTTTCTCCACCGTCTAGGAATTTGATTGAGTTGCCACCTTGAACATGTCAATGGCTACACCTTGAACATGTTAATGGCTGCACCTTGAACATTTCCACCCACAAGGGCTAAGTCTAAGGCAAGGGCAAGCAAGGGCTGCCACTATTCACGTGAATAGTGTCAGCCTTTGCATTTGTGGTTCCATCCATGAGGGCAAAGTCTAGGGCAAGTCTAAGGCAATTACTATTCATTGTACTTTATTTCCTATTTTTTTTATACTTCAAACCATTAATTTTGATAATCTTTTGTAATTAAATTTTCGGATAAGATTTTCACCCTCTAAAATTGTGCCACGTGTCCCATGTCAGATACGATTTTCAGATATTGAAAAAAAAATTATAATATCATATTTCAGATAAAATTTTCACCCTCTAAAATTGTGCCACGTGTCCAATGTCAGATAAGATTTTCAGATATTTTAAAAAAATTATAATCTCAGATTTCAGATAAGATTTTCACCATCTACAATTGTGCTACGTGTCAAATGTCAGATAAGATTTTCAGATATTTAAAAAAAATTATAATCTCAGATTTTAGATAAGATTTTCATCCTCTAAAATTGTGCCACGTGTCATCTCTATATTCTAAATCCCTCTATAAAACTACACCATTGACTCATACCTCTCACACCATCTCTTATCTATTCCTTCATTTCTCAGATTTTAGAAAACACATTCTACTCTCAATTTCAAACTTGTCGAGGGTGTTTGAGAGGCAACAGAAACAAAGGGAAGAAATCCGGCGTAGAAGTGCTCAAGAAGATCGGGACGCCGATGAAGAAGAGGAACAACTGCTTGCAGCAGCGGTGTGTATGATGGATCAATCAAGGCAACACCGTCGTCGTCGTGCCCCGAATGTGGACAGACGTAGGGAGTCTCGGGGTAAGAATCTCATGGAGGATTATTTTATCCCAAATTCGTTATATCCTGCTTCTAAGTTTCGAGAAAGATATAGAATGCAGCCACATTTGTTCCAAAAAATCATGCATGATATTTGTAATTACGACACATACTTCATTCAAAAGCATGATGCTGTTGGAGCTTTGGGTCTTATCCCGGAGCAAAAACTTACAGCTGCTTTGCGGATGCTTGCTTATGGGGCATCTGCAGAGCAGGTGAATGAGATTGCAAGGATGGGAAAATCTACTGTCCTAGAGTGCTTGGTGAGATTCTGTGATGCAGTGGAAAATTTGTACACGAGGGAGTACCTTCGCAAACCCACGCCAAGAGACCTGCAACGGCTTCTACAAAAAGGCGAGGCTCGAGGTTTCCCAGGAATGATTGGAAGCATCGATTGCATGCACTGGCAGTGGAAGAACTGTCCTACTGCTTGGCAAGGGGAGTACGGGAATCGGAAGGGCCAAAAAAGTATAATTTTGGAGGCCGTAGCTTCATTCGATTGTTGGGTTTGGCATGCCTTCTTCGGGGTTGCCGGATCTCAGAATGACCTCAATGTCCTTGGTCAATCCCCAGTGTTCGACGAGGTATTGCGAGGTCATTCCCCCCATGTCACGTACCAAATCAACAATACCGTTTACTCTGGTGCGTACTACCTTGCCAACGGAATTTATCCTAGGTGGACGACATTCGTGAAAACAATTCTGAATCCCCAATCCGAGAAGGAAAGAAACTTTGCTTCCTTTCAAGAAGGTTACAGGAAAGACGTGGAGAGGTGTTTCGGTATCTTGCAAGCTCGTTGGGCAATTATTAGAGGTGTTGCTCGGATGCTAGATGAGGAGGTGCTGCGGAGTATTATGATGACTTGCATCATCCTCCACAACATGATTGTGGAGGATGAGTATGACTATGATGCTCAAGAGGTGTTTGAACCCGATCCAATGAACACATCGTTGACAAGAATATATGAAAGGCCGATTGGACCAAATGGACTACAACTGGAGCCCGAACCCTTACTTCGGGATGGTCAATTCAACAACCCCATGATTGATCGGTATCAAGAAATGCAATCTTCATATGTTCACGAGATACGTCAAGGTGACTTGGTCGAGCACTTGTGGGAGATGAAAGGCAATCACAATGGATGAAGTCAAGATTAGTGCTTTGTTTGGAATTATGCTTTGTTTTTAATTATGCTTTATTTTGTGTGTGGTTTTTTTTGGAATTATGCTTTTTATTATTATTATGCTTTTATGTATGGTTTGTTTTGTGTGTTGTTTGCAATAAATGAAGGTTTTTTTTAATTAATATTTGTTTTGATGCTAAAATGTTTTTAATAAATAGTCATTTTATTTAATGCTTTTTTTATTGAATAAAAAGGAAACAATACAACAAATTAAAGGATAATACAACAATACAACATATGGCAAAGGTGTTTCAATACAACCTAATGGTTTTCATCATTTAACCAATCCGTATTGCTAGGTCCGTCGTCATGGAAAAGTTTTCTTCTCATCACATCTCTTCGTCGTAGCTTCCAATAGGCCTTTGTTTCGGGAGACATATGGCTCGTATCCATGGCCATGATTTTCATCTCTCTATCCTCTATGTCTTTTTCTTGTGCCATTTGTTGTTGCATAACAAATGTTTCCTCTCGTGCCACGTCCATTTCATCTCTTTTCAAGTCTCCCTCCATTCTTAGTGAGGTGCTCTTAGCTATTTGCTCCAATAATTGTACACATTCATTGGTCGAAGTGCCCCCTCTCTTGGCCTTTGCCGCCTTTCTCCCAATAGGTCTCGGCGGACGTGGCACAAATGGTGACTCCGTTTCCATTGGGGAGTCCAATGGAGAATCGGTTGATGTCGAATCGTGGAGTGGCGTCTCATTCATCACAACCGGCGGACCGGTGGGAATAATTTTGAATCTCGAACAATCCTTCACAATTTCCCAACAATGGAAATGCACGAAACTTTTTTTGCCTTGCCCCATGGCACCGAACCACATTTGTGCTTGTATCATCTATTAAAAATAAATAATTGGAAGTGCAAGAAACAAAAATTATTATGCAAGAAAATATAAACTATTTTGAAATGCAAAAATAAAATTGATTATGCAAGAAAATATAGACAAATTAAAGGTGCACCAAGAAAAAAAAATTATGCAAGAAAAACAAATAGAATATGCAATAAAAAAAAAGTGACATTGAATTGATTAAAATGGCAATTATAAATATTTTACCTCATCGGTCAAATTTTGACCGCTTTGAATGTTCGCCTTTGCTTTTGTCAAGGCATTTCTCCATTTCCCTAACTCTTTATTCAGAAGTTTCCATCTACTAGACAAGGCCATTTCGGTCCGAATAGAACCCGATCTTTGACAAAATTCTCCATGAATTTTGCTCCACATGTGATGAAACTTCATCTCATTGCCCGTGATAGGGTCATGACTAATGTTCACCCAAGATTGACACAACGCAATATCTTCATTCGTTGACCACGAGCCTCCGACTTCAATAGAAGATGCCATTTGTTTTTTTTATACAAATGGAAAGTAGTAGAAAAATGTGAGTGGAGAGTAAAAAATATTGGAAGGAGAAGAGTTTGTATGGAGAATTGGTGTGGAAGTGAAAAATGTGAGTGGAGATAAAAAAATATTGGAAGGAGAAAAGTTTGTATGAAGAATTGGTGTGGAAAGTGAATAATGTGAGTAAAGAGTAAAAAATATTGGATGGAGAAGAAATTGTATGAAGATTTAGTGTGGAAAGTAAATAAAATGGTTAGGTATTTATAGAGAAAAAATACAGAATTTTTGGGTATTTTTTTAAAAAAATTTCAGAATTTTTTTGATTTTTTTTGCAATTTTTTAAGCAAAAAAAACGAGGACCGTTGAATTTCTGGAAAAAAGCCATCCGAGAGTCCTCATCGCGCCACGTGGCAAACGCCCGTTGGAGGCTGTCAGGTGGTGACGTCAGCGCTGGCGTCACGCTGACGCCAGCGCACGGAAGTCAAATTTTTTTACCGTTGGCGCGTGAATTACACGCGCCAACGGTAAAAAAACCGTGCGCTGACGTCACCAAACTCGGGCTTCAGCCCGGGCAAGACTTGCCCTTGGGCTTCCTCGGGCTCGTGGGACCCACCATGAAACCGGGCTACGAGCCCTGCACTGGAGCCATCTCGGGCTCTCTCTGGCAGCCTTTCACCCAATTTGGGTTGGGCGCTGGAGATGCTCTTAGAGGCTTACAAGTGGGATGGAAGCGCTATGAATGGGCCCCTCAAAACATTCTAACTAACCCATGTTGTTTCCAAAAATAAAGCATACACGTCAGACGGCTACCACCGATCACCTATTCAAATGATGCCACCTCATCTGCAACTCTCTAGTCCCACATCAGAAAAGGAAAACAAAAAGATTCAACCTTCCATGTATAAAAGGGAGTACTTTCCACCTAAAAAATGTAATTCGAGTCTTCTTCATATTTGTGTATAATACTTTTGATAACTTCATTTGAGCAAAAAATATTGACTTAGGCATTGAAGGGTGTTTGGTAGACCAACCACCACCTCTTGAATAATCCCATTTTGTTTCTTTTTCGGGAAATAGGAGCCAACAACCACCTTACTTGGCCACTCCAAGTAAGGAAAAAAAAATGCAGCCTCCAAACCTAAGTTTATCCTTGAGGAAGGGTTGACATGGTTTGAGCACTCTGATTGGTTGAGCATCTGTTATGCATCAACAAAATCATGTCCCCTATCTTTTCCCAAGGGATGGTGAATGAGAGATTCATTTTCCATATTTGGTAATGCTGGGAAAGTAACAAGGACATATCATATTTCCTTTCCCATGTTTGGTTTGTGTAGGAATGGAAAAAAACTTTGTTTAGCTTTCCAATTATACCCAAAATAGAAATATGAAATAAATAAAATAAATAAAGGTCGTCGGGTTTAGCTGAGTGGAAAAGGGCCTTGACTTGACAAGTGATCTCAAAATCGAACTTCCATAGCATCTTGATAGTGTGTGTGTGAAACCCCCTCGCCCTTATAGTTTAGACTATTACTTGTATTAAAAACAAAACAAAAAAAATTCCAACAACTCTCTTTGTTGTTAGATAAAATTGCAATTATAAATTGTTAACAGGCAAATTGGTAACGAAAAAACTGCATTTAAGGATTTGAAAAGAGTCCTAGATTGGAGTGTGCACTAGATTTTATTTTTGAAAAAACTTGGCTCCTCAAAATTGAGGAGGAGCTCCTCCTCAAAACAAATTGAGTTTTGACACTTGTCAAATTCGTTTAATTTTTTGAGCATGATTTGGCTACGTAAAATTGAGGAGAAGCTCCTCTTTAAAACCAATGGAATTTTGACACTTGTCAAATCTTAGCAACATTGAAAAAGTTTCAACAAAAAAGAAAAAAGAAAAAATTAAAAATTTGACACGTGTCAAAACAAGATTGATTGTAAGAAGGAGCTCTTACTCAATTATAAGGAGCCAAACTTTTTCCTATTTTTTTTCTCTTTTGAATTCCTTGGTAAAAATGTGCACTATATTAGACATCTCGTATTTGCAAGTTTCAAGTCAATTACATATTTGCAAGCCACCTTTTCATTGTCAAGCCAAGCGCATTAATTTGACATGCGCGAGTGTGGACTCTCGGCTTTCTCCCTTCACCCTTGCATACGTGCATTGAACGTTCTCCTCCCTAAGTTCTGTTAACATAGGTTTTCTCTCTGGTCGTGCTCTTTGATCCTTCATCGTCCATTCCTTTTAAAGCTTTCCCCTTTCTTTGTTGAAAGTTTCCGTGTATGTTGTACTGGGTCTTAATCTGTTCAAACTTGAAAAGGCTTTTAAACTTGAGAAATTGTACAAAAATTAGATCTTGTGATGTGTTCGCTCTACTTATATATGAACTATCTTTTACCGGTTAGTTTTCGTTTCTTGGAGAACTTATATGTTGATTAGCATTTTTGTTTGGCCCAAAGTAAAAATCACAATTAATATGTCGTTCGAATCGCAATCTCTTTGTTGCTGCATTTTATCACACACAATGTCTGTTAAAACTTATGATGGTCATTGGTTAAGGCATTTATTTGTATGTTCGTGATGTGTGAGATTATGTCACAGATCATCACACTATTATAATTCATTACTTTTAGCCATTTTGTAGGATGAGCATGGCCTTCACAAGAATCTAGATCAGGAGTTCGCTCAGAAGGTTTCTGCAAGCCAAGCTAAAGAAATTTAAAATTATAATTATAAAAATAAAAAATAAAAAACTACCAAGATAACAGTAAGCAATGTAATTTTTTTTTCTTCCCATAAACATAAACATAAAGATGAAACAACGTGCATTAAAACTAGATTAGTGAAAACATTTAAGAAAGACACATTGGAATCACTTGTAATCATTAAGCAAAACAACATCAATCATTCATTTCTACTTCTAACTTTGTGCACGTGAAGACTCTGCTTTGGTTTTTTCATCATTTTACTTCGTAAATCTCTTCCAATCACTTTCACAGCACAATCAAGTTTTCCAGTTGAGAGTAGGAGATATCCCGTAGATATTCCAATTACCATTCCAATCCCATACCCCATCCATACTACTTTCCAATGAAATCCGTTCACATCCTCCAAATCATCTTCTTGCTGAAAGGATGACGATGGCAGTGGATATACCACAGAATTGATGCAAGTTCTGGAAAGTGGAAGTCCACACAATCCCAAATTTCCATTGTATGAATCGTTCTCAAATGTATCAAATTGCTTGCCATTGGGTATGGACCCCACAAGTCGATTTTCTGAAAGGTTTAATTTTGCAAGCATTGCCAAATCTGCCAATTCTCTAGGAATCTCACCAACAAGCCTGTTTGTAGAGATGTCTAGCCATTCAAGATTAGTCAAATTACCAAAAGAGCGTGGAATATAACCTGTAAGCTGATTGTGAGAAAAGTTAAGCCCTTTCAATGATTTGAGCTTACCAATCACCGTTGGAATGTCTCCTACGAAAATATTGTTTGAGAAATCAATGGTTGTGAACATGACTAGGATTTTTTCCAACTGAAAGTAGGAACCTTTTATCACTACCATCACAGTGTCCTGATAATAGCCATGATCCATGTATTTCAATCCATTATCTCGTACATGTATCATACCCATCAAGTTCTCAAAATATTTCCTTGGCAAAAGACCACTAAACTGATTGTGGGAGAGGTCCATAATTCGCAACATTCGGAATGGAAATCTAGTTTTTGACTGATTATAGGACCATGAAATTTGTTAGATCTCAAGATAAGAACCTGTAACATTGGAAGGGATTCCAACCAGTTGGGGAAGGTGTCGTTTATCTCGTTATTTCCTAGGTCGAGCACTTCCAACTTTCTACAATTCAACAGAGTTCGCGGCAATGGCCCTTCCAACTTATTTCCATTAAGGTCAAGATTCCTCAAGATGCTATCCTTTGTGAATGTTGAAGGGATCACTCCAAGAAATTTATTCATATGTAAATCCACAACTGAGAGGTTGTGACCGGTCAAATTTCCTATACATGGAGAAATTTCGCCGCTCATGTTGTTATTAGACAAATCAAGGACTACAAGGGAACTGAGGTTGCAAATCTTTGAAGGAATCCCTCCCGTCAACTGATTGTGTGATACCAAGAAGACAAATGTAGAAGGTGGTGGAATAGGAAGTTGTCCTTGGAGCAAATTGGTGCGGAGGTCAAGAACTTGTAAGTTTTTCCACGGAAATACTTGTTCTATACCTGTCAAAGAGTTATTAGAAAGATGAATTTGCCTAAGAAGATTTTGGGCTTTCTGAAACTTTCCAAACTTCACAAACCCACTGAAGTTATTTGATGCCAGATATCGAGCTCTCCCAGGTTTGGAAATTCAAAGATTGATCTTGGAATTTGGCCATGTAATCTGTTACTACCAAAATTAAGATACACCAAAGGAACTAGATTGGAATTCTTTGATGTTGCCAATGAATTGGTTGTCGTTGAGCCTTAAAACTTCCAAAGAGGGCAAGATATACAGCCAAGATGGTATTGTTCCGGTAAGTGAGTTATTATATAAGGAGAGGACGTTTAAATGCAAAGGAATAGGACCGACTAGCCGTTCTTTTGAAGAATCATATAAAGATGCAGGCATTTGTGTTGAGTTACTATGAAGATCTGGAAGTTGACCCAAAAAATTGTTGTTTGAAAGATCTAAGGAAATGCGACTCTCCATGTTTAAAAGCGACCATGGGATCTGGCCACCAAAACCATTATCTGAGAGGTCCGACTCCGTGATTTGTGTAAGATTACCAAGCAATGTAGGGTATGCTCCTACAAAATTGCAATGCTCAAGATACAAAACACTCAAGCACTTCAAAGTTGTAGTCAGATTCGGTAAATCTATTGAGATTCTAGTCCAAGAGAGTCCCAAGAACTTGAGTGGACTGCTCCAATTAGATTTTGGGAAAGAACCATTGAGCTCATAGTTGTATCTTAAATCAAGTTCATGGAGGTTTGGTAGGCGGAAAATTTTCTCTGGGAATTTCCCTTTCAAACTAGAATCAAAGAGTCTAAGAGATGTCAAAGAAGAAGGCAAATTCATGAATGAATCAAGTACAACTGAAGATATGTTAACACTGTCCAGACATAGCTCCTTAAGCTTGGTTAGGTTTTGGGCAATTCTTTTCAAACTAACTGTCCCTAGGCTCACTTGAGTCTCAGAAGAGAGATTAAGTGAAGCCAATTTGGAAAGGTAGGAGATTTCAAAAGGGATTTGACCAGTGAAGTTGGAGTTGGAAAGGTCAAGGTGAGTCATACTTACAAACCCGCCAAAGTTGGATGAAACTGGGGAACCTCTAAAATTGTTGTTAGAGAGGTCTAGCCTCCGGAGATGACGAAGGGAGAAAAGACTGCTGTTGTGATGAATGTTGCCTTGAAGCCCACTGTACCCAAGGTTGAGGCCTATCACGTGCCCCGTCATTCTTTCACAAGTGACGCCACTCCATGTGCAACAGTCCTTGCCCTTATCCCAATAGACTGTTTTAGGATAAGGAGTGATTCCATAAACAAAAAAAGCATCAACAGAATCAGAACCAGAGGTATCAATAGAGAATGAGTTCTTGAATTGAAGTAAAGCAGAACTATCATCAAGATGACACAAATGACCTGAAGATGAAGAAGAATTAAATGATGATAAGCAGATAAATTGAGAAGTGCATAAAAAGAAGAGGAGATACAGCCATGAAGACGACTCCATCCTAGACATGAAACTATTTTTGTGCTGAAATGCTGTGTGTATAGTTGGATATTCTACATGCATATTTATAGGCATGCCACCCTATTTGATTATTTATTGCCCCGCCTTTGCAAAATGTTAAAGAATAAATTGTTGACAAAGCACGATTGAATATGACAAGAATGTTTGATGCAGATATATGGCATGCGCCTGTGCTGCAAGTGGCAAAGCTTTTATCTTTTTGTGAATGCTTTTGTTTCTTTTCTTTTTTTTTTGCTTGAACATTCACAATTTACAAGAAAATTTTATAAGGAGTGATCAACGATCATATTACGAATGTATTGTCAATTATTTTTTATATATATAGTGTTAAATTCAGAGAGACGGGCCAACAACCCACTACTAACAACACCAATATTGTCTCTAACTTAACCACCTACAAAGTCTAGTAGGTGTTGGGTTTTATCATAAAAGGCCTCGGTATTATTAGTAGTAGAACAATTTATTATATTTTGTATTTTATTTAGTCAAGTTTCTAATGTGGGACTCATATTCTTCAACATATAATCCCCTTCTATTGATGGATTCTTCAAATAATTTTATTTGAGGGACACCCTTTAAGGTCTCATATGTAATTTGTTTTCAACGATCCAAACCATCTATTTTTCACATCTTCATTCAGAGATCATCCTTGCAAAACATCATGCAAATTGAAAATCATTAAGGCATTTAATTGAGACCAACAAAATCAATGAACACGGTGCTTTAAGAAAGTACTTGAATTTCAATTATTTAATTAAGTGGTGAAATGATATTGGATTCAAATAATTTTTTTTGTAGAAATGATTTTTGAATGAATATCTACAAAATAGACGGTTTGGATTAGTGAAATACAATGTTGACTGAGCTCTACAGGGGTGTCCCTCGAGTAAGTATTTGAGATCTCTCTCTCTCTCTCTCTCTCTGAGAGGTTGGTCAGGTATTTCTAAAAGAAAACGTTTCATTCTTATGATCAAAGGTATCTACTACTGTATCTTCCACACCAGTCTATTTCAAAAATGGCAGACAAGCAAATCTCAAGGCATCTCAAGTTTGATTTGGATGCTATGAGTTAAATAATCTTAGAATCCTGCAAACATTATGTTCTTCTAGCTCTTATGATCACCACAGCATTTGTTTATTCATTATTATAAAGGAAGTAAAACTTCGGTTTAGGTTTGTGAGATTGTTAATTATATAGAGATAATGCTGTTTCAACTTTTGAGTAGTATACATTTTCTTTTCCTTTTTTCAGTGGTCCAAAAGTTACAGAGTCCCATTCAAAAAGGAAGGCTATGAAAATCCCGTGAATCTTTGCTCCAATACGATGTACCTGCCGTCATCCAATTATTAAAGATTTTGGAGAATTCTGAGCTTGCCAAACTCCACAATACCACTCAAGTTTTTTGATGATAGATCAAGCCATAAAACATTCGTAAGTTCAATATCGATTTCGGGATTTCTACCACAGGCCTAACATAATGATAATTGATCACTAGAGTCTTCGACCACATCACGTAGCTGGTGTAGGTTTCATCCCACTGACTGGAATGAACCCTGTGAAATGGCAAAAACTGACTTCTTCTTGATGGAAGAGTCTCGGTGGAGGAGAAGACAATGACCACCCCATCATTAATTCCTCAAGATTTTCTGAAATTGTTAAGGATGATAAAATTGAGAAGCAGATGAAAACATTTGCTTGGTTACATGTGAATGCAAGTAATTCTGAAGGACAAGTTAAGGTCTGTTTCTTGGAATTAATATGTAGGGCAGCTTGGCTTGTTAAGAAAGTAAAATCTTCAAAACGTTGGAAGTGGCTGCTTTTGTTAGGATAGGATTCCATCCCATGATAACTGTTTCTGTGGTTTGATTTTTGTTAAGAAGAAGTGCTTGCTAGAAGGACTTTTAGCCAATTCAGCAGGATTGTTTACAGAACCTCATCCCCAAAGCTCAACCGTTGAGCCTACTTGCAAAGCATTGGTCATTGGTGGTTCCCCTCTTCCCCCTAATTAGTCCAAACCCTAATTCAGTCTTCTATCCGTACGTATTGCCGAAAAAAAAAAAAAAAAAAAAAAAAAAAAAAAAAAAAAAGTCTTTTATACCTTATTTAGGAGAAATTTTTAGTTTCAGCTAGTGGCTGGATTGATGACGTGGTCCACCCATTGAACCAAAGAATTATGAATTTCTCCTCATCTAGTGGAGGAATTGTGATTTTCAAATGGAGAATCATCCAGTAGGAACAAAATATAAAATAAAAGATAAATAAAGAGGGAAAATCATTCAAACTAAAATCTTTGGTGGGTTTCCTACAGTGTCGTCCCCTTTTTTGTTGTAGCTAACCTGTGGGGTTGTCTCACCAGTCTTGTGTGATACGGTCCTGGAATATCTAACTCTAATGTAGTCTACGACGCCTTGTCTTGGACAAGTAGAGGGGCCAATGAATTTACTTACAAAATTTTCCAATTACAGAGCCATTTATCTATTCAAAGAGAGGATGTTTTGCATAGGAGTTCAATCAACTTACAATTACACTTTATTCAGTATCAAAATTACTTGAATGTACTTAACCACACAATAATTGCTGCAGAATATAGCCTAAAATACACTGCAAACTTTAACTTGATCACCCGGTTCTATCGCCTTGGACCTTACCGCTTATGTTTCGTCATTATCAAAACAGCTACCAAGTTGAGTAGTTCATAATGAAGATTTGGAATTTCAATTGTCAGTCAAACTACTCAAAACTGGAATTCGACCTCATTGTGTACTCTGCCACAAGCTGAGCAAAAGATGACGACTTGTTCTCGAGCAAGGTTGCAGGAGAATCATATTCGTCAATAAGCCCTACACCAAGAACGAAGATACATTTAAAAATGAATAAAAAGTTAAGGTTCAGTGGTAGCTAGAGGAAGTTGAATGCATTCATATGGCAATACTAACCATGACTCAGAAGCAGAACCATGTCACTATCAAGAACAGAAGTTATACGATGTGCAATAGTGATGACTGTACAGTCAGTAAAGTGTTGGCGAAGGGTCTGCTGGATGAGATTATCTGTAGCTGTATCGACCGACGCAGTAGCTTCATCAAGCACCAAGACCTTACTTTTCTTGAGCAGCACACGGCCAAGGCAGACCAACTGCCTCTGACCCATACTCCAGTTCTCTCCGTTCTCACTAACTGCAGCAACCATACGAATATAAACAAAAGAATTTCCATGACATAAAATGGAATCTAGTGCATCATATATAGCCTGTATCTTAGAGTAGCCATAGAACAAACCTGTAGAATCCAGCTTTCCTTCCTTTCTCCTAACTTCTTCTCCTAGTTGACACTTATCCAGGGCCTGAAAAAATTAAAAGATGTTTTAACTAGTCCCACGAATTTAGAACTGCAAATCTATAAATGGAGTTAGTAGGAAGAAGCTTCCTTTCTTCAGTGCAAAACCAACCAACCTCCCAAATTTGCTCATCTGTGTACTCTTCAAGTGGATCCAGATTGCTTCTCACAGTCCCTTCAAACATGGTTGGGTCCTGAGGGATAATGCTCAGCCTAGACCTTAGATCATGCAGTCCAATTGAAGAAATATCAATACCATCTATCAAAATCCGGCCAGAAGCAGGATCCACAATTCGGAAAAGGGTCTGTATGAGAGTCGATTTGCCACTGCCAGTTCTACCCACAATCCCAGTTTTCATTCCTCCAGGAAACGTACATGTGATACCTCGCAACACAAGCGGCATGTGTGGGGCATACCGGACCTATATAAACATGAAATTCGAGTCACACATGAATGACCCCATATGTTATGAAAGAAATAAACCAGAACAGCAAGTACCTGAAGATCATGTATGTCAACTTTTCCACGTAATGGCCAAGAACGATCTGGCTGATTGGATTCTATTACAAGAGGAGGCTCACTGGGAATGGTAGTGTACTGTAGTAATCTCTCCACTGATATTATTCTGTTCTCCACATTGCAAAGATTCCATATAACCCACGCCTGTAACATGTTTAGATTAAGTCCATATGTGACAGCTAAGCCCGCAACACCTTCAGAGGAAAATACCAAAAACAAATAAGAAAAGAGAGAATTCATAGGTTTGCTTTACCATTTGCTTTCAAAAGAATAATTAGTAACACACTAAATGAATACCACTTGCCTGGATCAATCACCCCTGCTGGAATAGAGATCAAGAAAACCAAACAGAATCCAAAAGTGATAGATGACAACATATCCAAGCGAAAACATAGCCATTCCATTGCAGCCGCAGTATGAAACTTAGGCCGACCATAACCATCCATCAGTTTCATGTTTGTATCCCTAAATCTGACTCTTGATCGAAGCTCCTAATAGTTGTCGACCCTGAAATTGTTTCGGCAAAATGTTGTATCACTGGAGCTTTGCATACTCCAACCAGCCGTGCTAGTTCTCGTGCTGAAGATATGTAGTATTTCTGCATGAATATAAAAATTTTGACCATCTTTCTTCACATTTAACATAGTTCATATAGATTTTTGGCTGTAACAGGAGTTATGTTTGTTATATGGATTCATATTGTCAATCATGTTCCATGTTGTGTCAATTTAGAAGTTTCTAAGAACTGTAGCAGAAAAAGGTTAAAGAAAATGTTAATATATCAACTTAGTGAACTTTTGTGTCAACAAAGAAGCCAAGTTCCTCACTTCCACATCAAATAGAAGGTAGGTCATGTATAGGCATGAATAATGAGCATCAACAGTGCATGATCAACAAAGAATTAACATTAAAGGGACATTAACATTTCCATATTAAATTTCAAGTGGAAATTCATGTATCGATACAACGCATAAGATAGGAGCAGTCGGACAAAGAAGCGTTACCTGTAACCAGATACAGATTGCAATCACAGGGATAAAAATGATGAAAACCTGCCATGCAACTTGCGAAATCACTGCAATAATTCCCAGAAGCTGGATCATTGAGTTGGCAAGGGCCCCAATTTGACCCGGCATGTTCAAGTCCACTACATTTTGGTCTGTAGAAGCCTGCAAGAAATCAATTAGCTACATTGATGAGATTACTGCATTCAGTACAGCAGCAGAGGGAGTGGTAGCTGTTTAAAGCAAAGAAGGAAAGTACATAAAAATCATCTAATTCTCTTTGAATATCCCAATAAGGCACTATATTAGAAATATATTTTGCTTACTCTGTTTAGGATTCGTCCACTTGGAGTGGCATCAAAGAAAGACATGGGTGCACGGAAAACGCATAAATGCATTTTACTAAAGAGTAGAGTGGCTGTCTTGTACCCAGCTGTTGCAAGAAATGTGGATCTGAAGAGGATACAAAAAGAACTTCCAACGGCCAAAGCAACATAAACAGTTAGAAGTGTAGAGGTTTCAACAGCAGGTTTCACATCCTCTGAAACAGGAGTTGCCCAAGCCATCCAGTAATTGCTTCCAATTTGAAGGACCTGAAAGAGAACCTGAAAAAGCAAGATAAACGGAACAAGAGCACCTCCGTATGCTGTGGTGATGTACTTCCAGTAGACTGACAACCCAACTCTACCTTTTTCTCTCTCTTCTTCTTGAACAAGCTGCCCTTTTGGTAAATCATCTGTTTTAGAATTTTGAACATCAGTGTCTTCTACGTTTTGGACAACCCCACTAGTACCAGCAAATTCTCCATCCTCTTTGCTAATGCTTATTTTTTCAACTGGCTCCACCTCTGCAGAATTAAGCACGGACAAAGCTTCCGCATGTGCTCCCACAAGTTCCATAAAATCAGTTTCTGAATTAAGAATGTCATTGAACTTTCCTGCTTGAGTAATCCTTCCGTCTTTCATGACCTAATGACAAACAATAAGTTTAAGCAGACAGATATTAACTAGATAATAACACATCTTATAAATTAAAATTTTAAGAAAAGCTCTGGATTTTTACCAAGATGAGGTCTGCAGCAGGTAAGAACTCCACTTGATGAGTAACATAGATTACTGTTTTTGAACCCAAGAGACCCAGCAAGCATTCCTGTAGTGCAATTATCAAGCAAACAAATTAATAATGAAGTGTCAATTTTACGGATGCATATGCCAATAATTCTACGCTGTAAATAATTTTGGATACTCAATTTAAACTAGATGTAATCACACTGCAAGACGGAAATGAAATACCTTAAAAAGGTGTGATCCTGTATGAGCATCAACAGCGCTAAAAGGATCATCAAACAGATAAATATCAGCATCTTGATACAGAGCACGTGCAATTTGTATTCTTTGCTTCTGCCCGCCACTTAAATTGATTCCCCTCTCCCCTATAATTGTCTGATCACCAAACGATAGAATTTCCAGGTCCTTCTTTAATGAACATGCTTCAAGCACCCTCTCATATCTTTCTCTGTCCATCTCTTGACCAAACAATATGTTTTCCTCTATCTTGCCACTCTGTATCCATGGTGACTGAGAAACATAGGCCTTTGTCCCACATATTTTAAGACTCCCCGATATCTTCGGAACTTCTCCCAGAATACAAGAAAGTAAGCTAGACTTGCCTGAGCCAACAGTACCACAAACAGCAACCCTCATACCTTGGCTCACTTTGAAATTTAGATCCTTCAATGTTGGACTAGGGGATGATAAATCCCAAGAGAAATTCCCATCGACTATCTCAATTGCTGTATCAGAACTACCTCTTGGAAGGTTCTCTATAACGTCAGGCGGCAAGTCATCAAGACTAAGGAATGATGCAATTCTATCAAGGGATACCTTAGTTTGTGCTATCATTGAAATTGTGTCTGGAAGACTGTAGATAGGCTCTTGAAGAATCCTGAATGTTGCAAGTGCAGATAAGATCTTCCCCGACTCAAGTGGGATCCCCAAAAGCATGCAAGCAACGAAAGTGACCACTGACACAAATGTGGGGGCACCCCAGAAAACAAATGAGGTCAGGGCAGACGTGTAAACAAACTTTCGTAACCATCCTGCCTCAGTCTTCCTGAGCTCATTAATTTTAGACAAAAACTTCATCTCCCA